CATTCAGTGTAAATATTACATCCTTTTTATGTGAAATATTACAACATTTCATATTAAAACTTACGGATGTAATATTACAGCAGGAAAAGTTTCCTGATGTAGGGTAAGGACATGGCCAAGTCAATATAATTATTGAAGATAAAGCTCTAAATATTAAAAATAAAAGAATTATTTTAGTATTTATATTAGTGTTATTATACATCTTTAGGCTACTAACAACAATTCAAACATATTTTTCCATGTTAATTTTTGATTTTTCCTGAGGCTTTTGATTATTTGTTTTTGATATTCTCTGAATTTGCTTGTCACATTAATCGAATCAACAATCCACTGATAATAGAATAATGTTAAAAATCATGATTTATACATAATAAACAAGGATTGAAAAATTTAGTTTACTCATACCTCTTGTGTTATATCTGATTCTGTGAGTTTTTCCAGGTATACAAATTCAAATTCTAATATTTCTTTTTCTTCACTTTCAGACTAATCAACATCTAAACCACCATCTGTCTGACTTTGAACATCATCAACGTTCAAAATTTCATTTTCTATCACATAATCTTCTGAAGTTTGATATACAATAGGCTGTGTTGATTTGGATGAATTTTTAGTTGATACATTAACATTTTCAACTTGACCATGACTACAAAATGCAAATTTAAAAAATTTATAATTTTACAAATCATAGATGCAAAAAGTAAATGTAAGACAAAAGATGCCGCATTAACACTTACATGACTTTATCAGATATTGATTGTCCTAAGAATACTGCTGTGGCTGACTGCTGTTTATAAATTTTTACTGCCCTATCGTTTTCATTTTCTTTATTTCCACTAATAAAAAAAAAGTTTATAATTAATTAGAGTGATGACGTGTGGCAACAATTGCAATAACCAAGTTTCAGATCAATAACTAGAGTAACAACAAGCAGCAGGCAATAACCCACCACCATCCTTAAAAACACTTACCCAGCGATATCAGCTTTATCATTTTGTCTGCTTCTTTTATTAGTATTAGATTTTGACATTTTTTTTTGAGAGAAGTTTGTTATTTGATCGACGCAAGATTGACAAGTTTTTTCATAACAAACTGAACACAGACCTTCCATCCAAACTTAACTTAACATTAACTAGAGTAACAACAAGTGGCAGGCAATAACTGCCACCACCATCCTTAAAACACTTACTCAAAATATTCCTCACAAACTTCAGTTTTGCTTCTTTTTCTTTTCTGGTTTTTGTCATCTGGCATTTTAAAAAAAAATTTTTTTTTAAAGAAGTTTTTTATTTGATCGACATGTACACACTAATTATTTATCCTATTGGTTTTTTTTTTGGTAGGACAGATGTGAATTGATTTTTTTTTTCTTGGAAAAACAATTTATTTATTTTTTGACAGAGTCCAAGGTGACAAAACGTGAGAGTTGTTGTTTGGTTTGGTTTTGGGTCTCCTAAAGAAAACGTGTTAATAACTAACCAGAGGTAACTATTTTTTACTTGTATTGATATTTTTATTTTGGTTTATAAATATTTTAATTGGAATCAAAACACGGAGCAGATCTTGCTGGGTAATTACAAGATTTTCATTGATAATATTTTACTTTGCGTAATCAATTAATATTACTATATAATCACAAGAAGATGTCAAGGCAGCACACCATTTAAAAAGAGACATTTTGATATGCAATGTTTGATTATCGGAAATTTACAAGTGTTGAAGCACGCACGCACGCTACCTTGAACACATTACAGTCATTCACTCGTTTCTCGTGTACATAAGGCTAATCTGACCTGATTGATCGATGATACAATGATGCAATTAA